ATTTCATCTTCATCTGACGAGCCAACATCAGTCAGCAAAAATTAAAATAAAGAATATTAAAAATTTAGTTTTTTTTTTTTTTTACCATAGATACACTTTATTCTTTTTGCCAAATGTTAGTCTTCCATTTTTGGATTTTTTTCCTTCCTTACTATTTTACGTACATTAATTTTAATTTTATGAAACTTTTATCTTCATTTTATATTCTTTTCTTAATGTCCACCACCAGGCCCACTGTGCTGCCACCAGGCAGCACAGTGGGCCTGGTGGTGTTAAAGACTAATATTTGTATAATTGTCATAATATTTGTATAATTATCATAAAGACTAATATTTATATAATTATCATGACGTATCATGACGTCATGCTTCTATGACGTATCTATGCTGTAGAATAAAAAGCTTTTTTTTTTAAAAAAAAAAAAAGTTTTTCCAAATTTTATTTTTAATTTGAATATATCTTTTGTGTTACTAATAAGCATGGAATAGATCCTAATTTTAAAACCTCTCTTTTTATTACATTATTTAATAAAATCAAGTGTTATCTTTCAAATGAGCTATTCCAACACTATTTAGCACGTAAGTTATGTCAAATAAAATGATTTCAAATGACGGCGTATTTGAAGTTTTTTTTTTAGCTGAAATTTCACTTAATAGTCGAATAAAAATTACATTATAGTTGAATGCTTTTACGGTCCAACCTGGTCCAGTAATTTGAAACTTGAAATACATAGTTCAATGTGTATATTATCAAATAAATTTGGTTTATAGTCCGCGGATGTCCGCCTGGTCTCTAATAATGATTTTTACAAGTTAAATGATCTATCCGATGGTATGTAGCGAAAGCATTTTATTCTGAATGGTTATGTAATAATTGGGTCTCAGCAAGACTAGACTAGCGTTACAAACTTGTTTTATTATGAATACATCTTATTTATTTATAGGATTTTGTAAATGAAATTCATATTTTATATAGTTAAAACACGAAAAATACTGCTATTTGTTTATATATAATACTTAGCTAATCCTAAAATTTTGGATACAGTTATAAATGGCATAAACTTAACTTAACAAATCATAACCTGTCTAGTTTCATAAAGCATCTTTGACAAAGGTATATATGCAAAAACTCTAAAACTCGTTTTGAAGAGAATAACAAATAATGACTACAAAATGAACCAATATCAGTTCAATTTGCAATTGATAATAAGAAAATTTTATTAACTGCTTGCATTGATAAAAAAAACTCTGCTCTTATCCAGCTGTTGTATCTGGCAGCCCCCCCAGTTGAATTTTGATACTTTATGTAATAAAACAAAGAAAAGAAGATTGACGCCATTAGTTGCATCATATTCATTTTAAGAACTATTGTTTGCATCAGGTTGTAGTTTGCGCCAAGAAAGTCAAGAAAAAGAAGCTAAAACTGTTTTAAAATTAACAGAATATATGAGTTTTGGTTCAAAAAATAATTTTAAATCAAAATTTTTATATTATTATATACACAAAAAAGTTTAAACTTTAGCTACTTTTTTATATGGATTATGTAGTAGTTTCATGAAATATAAAATCAAGCCCTGGAACTGCATAAAAATACTTAAAATTATTAATTGGGACAGTGTTAAAATTTTTAAATGCATATAAATAAGATTTGATAAGACTACCACATTAATAGTAATCTAGTTAATTACATTGATGCTTTTAGAAAAGTTACTTAAGCTAGTGACTATGCAAAATACTAGGCATTTCAGATGTCACTATTAACCAAAAAAAATCTATAGTACCACTACATTTGTAGTATGAAAATGCTCAATATGGTAATTATGGGAGTAATCCAAAAAAGTTATTACTTTTTCCAATTTTATTTTTTCCATTTATATTTGTTAAGATTAACAAAGTATGTGATTGTTAAGCAATTTAGGTATCCATAGCAACCCAAAATAAAAAGCAATGTCTCATTAAAACCGATCCAAAATTTAGTAAACAGTACAAAAATCCAAAATTTAGTAAACAGTACAAAAATGGTTCTGAAATCTTTTTTATATGACGAGTTATTAGTTTTGTCCAGTTAAAGTGAATTCTGGCCCACTGTGAGCAGTTAAGAAATAATATTTTTATATATATTTATTTTTGTAATACTTTTAATATGCATATAATACAATATAATACAGTAATTGTAACAGAGTCAAGTCAATAAAAAAACAAAAAAACAATTGATATATGATTTTTTGAAACAAATATGAAGCGCCATTCTTCTGAAATGGAAAATTGTTACAACGTCAGAATTTTCCATTTCAGAAAAGAGACATCAAAGCTGAAGAATTAAATCTTGATTATGTCATACAAATCTTAAATCTGTCATAGAACTTTGTGTATAAGTTTTCAGCCTGCGTATAACATAAATGCTTAGCTCGTTTTTATTTTCACGTCCACATATAGTAATAGGAATCGTTTCTGTTAAAAAACCTTTAAAAAACCCCTCTTGCTTCAATAGATTTCAAAGTATCTGTGTTAGTGAAATAGATTACAGATCAAATATTCTAAAATTTTCCCTAACAATCAGATTCGAAATTGATTAAGATGGGGCATATCTGAAAAAAATGCAAAAATTCTAAAAAACTTACAAATATTTTCTTTATTTTTTTTTACAAAAGTAGCAAAAAATCTATTTTCTAATTCATTAACTAAATGATCTACTAAAAGAAGTGAAGAAAGACCTGTTATTTGGAACACAGGGTTAATTGAAACATTAAACTTTTGCGCCGGCTTATGAGTAATTTATTAATACAAACAATCAATCAATTAATCCATATATTTCTGAAATAGTTGTTACATTCACGGAAGTTTACAAACGGTACATGTACTAATCTTAAGTAAAAACCTTGCAAATAAAAGTTAACCAATATATCGTTAATACTAATAGTAATATTAATGGTCCACAGTAGTAACAAAACTAACATTAAAAGTTGAAGGAGTAAAAATACTACTACTAATAATAATAATAAAATTAATAGTAGTAATAATAATAACAATACTATGACAAAAATAAAATGATAATAATAAAAACAAAGTTATAAAAATAATTACAATAATCATGTATATACGCATACATACATACAAACATATACATACATAAAAATACATACATAAAAACACACATACAAATACATACATACAAACACACAAACACAGATACACATATCTATGAATGTATTAACTGTATTTGATTAGAAAGAAATGGAATAGGTTACTCTTAAAAACATTGATTGAATGGAGAGCTTTTAGGTCATAGGGAAGGTTATTCCAAGATTTTATACTTTGGTTTTTTATGCATAAGGAACAGAACGATGTTTTAAGACTGACAGGGTCAAATTAACAACTGATCGAAGATAGTATCGGTTATTTGCATTTTTGGGGAAGAAATTGTTGAAGGTAGGTTTTTGTATTGCTGATTACAGACAAACTGGCAATTCAATAATTGAACAAGGTCACATAGTTTAAGGATCTTAGGGCCTGATTGTATGAAGAAATATGTCCCGCTTCGCCAAGACGGGACGATTAGCCGAGATCTCGGTATAACGGTTAAGGTGGTACTTTCCTATAAAAAACATCAAAAAACAAAAAAAAAAAAAAATTTTAAATTTTATCAGTTTGAACATCCTGAATCACGATTATAATTTTTTTTCCTATAAAAAAATGTTATAAAGTACTTAAATTAGTATTTAAAGGCAATAAGGTAATTTTCAAATCCCTAGCAACGGCCTTAGCAACCATGTCTGTTTATATGTTTGCCCAATTTTCACAATTTTTTCATCGGTATTATAAAAAGGTCATTTTGACACAGAACAAAATATTAAAGGTAGTTAATCATATTTTTGTGGCCAGTTTAAATGTTTTTTAATTAGAGATATTTTTAGTTTATGACATTTTTTATTTTAAAAGCTATTTTTCTCAGAATAATATTTATAAAATATTTTAAAACTAGAACATTGATATCTCAGAAATTACTAACTCTTTTTCTTTGAAATTTTGACAGTTTGTTCATTGATATTGTAGAAAGGGCTGGTAGTAAAATAATCAAAAAATATTTTTTTATTTGACCAGAATTCAAAATATTACATACCCCACGGACCATGTGACAAATAAGTAAAAAAATGATGTTTTTTATATTTAGTTTTTTAACTACAATCGAAAAATGTTTATCATTTTAAGAAAAATATCAGATTTTTAAAAAATAAAAAATGTAGGGTAGTACCACCTTAGGGGGCTATCCCCTCATAAAATTTCAAAATTTTCAATTTTTTTTTTTTTTTTAATTTTAACTATTTAAACTATTCAGAATCATAAAATTTGTTTTGGATGTATCAGATTATTCTTTCACTATCTTAACTTGTCTATTTAAGTTAACCACCTCTTAAGTGATTGCCTTAGCAACGCCATAGCAACGCACTTAAACAATTTTATACATCATACTTTTACCTTAATTTTATCCAAAATAGTGTTCCACTAGCAATGCCTAATCTTGAACAACTTCTTGATGCGTTTTTCTAGAATTTGGTACATCAAGTACGACAATATTATTCAGTTCAGTCAGTTCTTGAGATTTTATTAGGTTAGTTTAATTAGTAAAAATGGGAAGAGCTTGTCGAGTTAAGAGATGTACACAAACTCAAAAAAAAATGAAAAGGCTTATGGGAAATGTTCAAAATTCTGTTAATACTGTTATTGTATCTGATAGTACTAATATCGAATTGCCGACAATAAATCCAAGTGCCTCTAACATCACTTGTGTTACTGAACCAATTTTCGAAAATTCACTTAGTTTGTCAACTTCAGCTCATAAAATCAAAAACTTAGAAGATACAATTATTTCAAAACCTGCCATATCTGGTTATCGTATAATTGATGTTGCTGTTTTAATGTCTATTTTAAGTTCTGTTCTGTGTCCAGAGTGTGGTTGTTCAACACTCTCACTAAGTGAGAGCTATACTCAACAACGTGGTA